GGCAATTAATTGTATGCTTATACATTTATTGAGCATTTATTTATTTCTGTATTTATTTTTAAATATGGCAGAGTTGGTCCTTCATACTTTGCTCGGGGAATAGGAAATGTTGGAAGCCAAAACTTTTGCACCTGACCTTTTCAGGTGAAATCCATCTCTTTTGAAGAGGTATCTATTTTCCCAGAAGATATTGAAGTTATGAATAAAGCCATCTGATCTTGCAGAGGGGACTCGTTGGATCCATCTATGTTGAATCCCGCTGTTGATTTAATCTTCTGCTGAGAGCGTTTTCAGGTGTCAACCAATGAACACTTTAAAATGTCTCTGTTCTGCTGTGTTAAGCAGACCAATCATGTCTTTCTTGAATAATTCTGACTTCCTTTTAGAAACATCATGCAGTCCTCCAATGTGAACGACTAAATTCTTCAAGGTTGGATGTAATTCTGTGCTCTATGTGATCCTCTTTGAGAGTCCAGACAGCATGCTAAAGTCAACAATCCCAGTTTCTGTTGTTTGGGTGGAAGTATTTAATCTGATTATCTGAACATCATAATCAGTTACAGTTATTGTTCTTAGTTTAGTAGCTAGTTTGTAATGATGCTGTTTAGTAGAGACCTGAATGTTCTCATATCTTTGACTGTTGTCTGCAAATAGACTCTTCCCTTCAGGGTTAGTATCCTGTAGAGCAGCAAACCTCTTTTTTGGTGGAAACAAATATTCTCAGTAACCTCAGATGCTCATTCCTTATCCTTTGCTCTGCAAACAAATTGATTTTTGCACCTGTCGTTACTTGGAGTGGAAGACATGTTTCTCTTAAGTCTCAGCCAGGTTTTATCCTCTAGACGTGGCGTTCACTCAGTCATGTCTATTCTCAGATCTCGGCTGAATCGTTTGTTCTTTAGCTTTGCTCCAAGAGTTTCCCAGTGAGGGCTATCGGTTTGGTTATTGTCATTAGAATCAGCACCTTTTTTCTTGGTTGCGTTGGTTAGTTTTTGCTGCAACGTGTTGCTGTTTATAAGTACTGGTGGAGTTATCTCAAAGAATTAAATTTTTTTAACTAGAGACGACAGGAAGTGTGCTTCCATCAGAAAAGCTTGATGGAAATGAAAAAAAAATGAATAAAGTCCTTTAAATTTGCAAAAATGTTTTAACTCTCGCTAGAAGTGTCGTTTTACTTTATCAAAAATTAGTTGATGCATTAAACAGGAGAAAGAAACACTTTTTTATACAACAATTGAAAATATCGCACAGTATATGCCCGGCTTAATGTGTCGACAGTAGAACTCTATCCAGTGTAGAAAAGGCGATCCAGATTTCTGCTCTGATTCCAGACTATCGTCAGCCTTACAGACGTCATTATGAATGACAAACTGGGGACAACAGCCTTCAGGAAAAGAGCTATAAAAAACAAGGTTCCTCAAATGTAAAGGAAGGCTGAATCTCTCTGTTATGAAACCCAAACATGAGGGTGTGAACATTAGCGTGTGTCAGAGAGAGAACAGGGAAGAACTATTTCTTGTTAAACTGGTGGCCAATGTCTATAAGGTCTGACACACAAAGGACTTGGCAGAGCTCCTAGCAACGGTTCGAGACATCAGGAGGTCCCTATATTAAAGGGATTAGCTCCATCCTAGCGTCAGCACTTCTCTCATAGCGCTCATGCGGGCACATCCACCGTGACTTAGTCCTTACCGATTAGAAGTTTTCAGCCTTAAGGGCTGGTTATACTCCAGCAGCAGTGTGTCGCAGTGAGCTTGTCGCAGATATTTTTGATTTATGCCCAGTATCGAAGCGTGATCCGTGCTATGTTATTCCACGCCACAATGCAAGAGGGACTATCAGGAACTAGCTCTGGGTCTAGATACGGCCGAGGCGGTGAGGAGGCAAGTTTGTGCGACAACCGAGGGACATGAGTGCGAAAAAGAGCCGGGATCCAGGTGGAAAAAGGGTCCCAGAGTTCTCGCGCACCTCACTCTTCTAGTTAATCCATCTTCAGGAGTCGTTTTCCACAATGGCGGTCATACAAAAGAAACAAGCCGGTAAGGTACCAAACAGGAAATACGCATAGTGTAGAGTGGATGTTGATTGACCAATCAGAGGCCTCCTGTCTGCGGTACTGTGTGCAATTTGGGAGAGGTGCAGCAGAGCGTCTGCGGAAGGGGCGGGGCTATATCTGCGTTAACTGCGACACACAAGCAGAGGACCTGGTTTCTGAGTATAAATCAGCCTTTAGTGCTACCAACCTATGCATTCATTGGGTTTCCTTATTAATAGGTTATGATTAATGACTAACAAAAGGAAGGACACAAACCGTGAAGATCTTCTCCTGAGCCTGGATGGCCTCTGGGTCTCTGCGTCGCACCATCTGAGTCATGACTCTCAGGGCAACGGCTCGGGTGGGCACATCAGGGTCACACGCCTCTAGCATCCAGTCAGACAGAGGTTTGTCGTTAAGATCTGCCTGGCTTGAGCTGGATGCCCCTCCCCCATCTGTAGGACAGTGATGCTGTGGGGCCTGTTGGGACCTGCTGTCATTTCTGTCCGGACCAGCAACATCGGCAAGGTTTTCAGGCCTGTAGGCGCCATGAGTGGCAATGACAACTCTGAGGTTGGACGCCAGCTCCTGAATGACGACATCAGGATGCTGCTGAGACAGCGCCTCCAGAGGTGTGAGCAGGCGCTGCATGCAGGAGTAGTCCTCTGGGCTGACCTGTTGAGTCAAAGGAAGATTTGTTGCATAATTCAGTCCATACGATGTCAAGAAGTTATAGATGACCTGCTGCATGGGTGCAGGTGAAGGCGCCATGCGTAGTTTCAGGGGCGTGTACCTGAGGTGCAGACAGCAGTGTTGCCAACAGGCCCATTCCCATGCTCAGAGTCTGACTCTCCACTGGGTTCCTAACACCTGCTCCCGAGGGCCCTTTCAGGCCAACACAGGCTCTCTGGAGCAAGGACGCCATGAAATCCACAACCTGCAACACATTTAGAAGCAGTCCATAAAATGCGAACTCTGCTCAACGATCAAGAAGCTTGCAGAACCAACTTCTGCAGCAAAAACTGTCCGTAGTCCAACATAGAGCCATCAGGGATGGAGGTCCTGACACCAGTCCTGGTTTCCAGGTTTCTCAACCTGTTTTGTCGTGCTGTTGGGCTCCTTTTCGGAAAGTTACGCCTCAGTTTTGGTTTAGTTTTGTCAGGCCTCAACAAACTGCTCAAGGCCGGTTCAAAATGTTGTAGTTTCATAAAATAATAATTAGGATAGAAAACGTAACTCTCTTTGATCTTCAACTGCAGACGCACATCGCACTGCATGTAAATTAAAAACGACATTGGATGGACAGTGGAGCTCAGCTGATGTGTAATATAGAAAACCTAATTCGGGTTTGAGAAGAGACGACAAGAAATGACAAATAATTGTAGACCAGATATAGAGTTGGATAGCAAACATGTTGAGATTGGAACCTTTTAACCTATAAATAATAGAAAATATAGATTTTGATAAAAAATATTAAAAAGCAATCAAGTGTGCTCTGTTTAAAATCAATATTTTATGGATTTCAATGTATAAAATAATGAAGAATAGCAGCAGAGGCAATAAGAGGACATTCATAGGGTTGTGGACTAGAGGATTAAAAATCATATCACAAGAAACTGAAATATAACTTTAATATCTTAATGGATACCATAGATCATGAAAAATGAGTTTTTAGTTGAATAATGAAGAAAAGAATGAATGGGTCCGTTGACTATTAAAATAACAGTTAGTTGCAGCCCTACAACCACCCATCATCTCTGCACTAACCTGTGAGGTCTTCCTCAGCAGCTGATCATGGTGCAGACAGTCCACCATCACAGCCAGCACCTGAAGAAGCGCCAGCTTCTCAGCTTGTCTCTCTGCTTCACCCAGCAGCTGCTGCTCCATCTTCAACAGCGTCATGGCTGCCACTTCCACCTCATCCTCATGCTTCACCTCTTCATCGGCTGTCGCAGCCCAACTGGTCAGCTCCTGCAGGATGTGCAAGGTCAGCGATTCAGTCAGTAAACACCTCTAATAAGCATGAAAATATCCACAACAGGATGTTACTTTTGAGGCAAATGTTCTGATATCTATTTAAGGAGACCCACAGGGCTGGAAAGCCCAGTTCTTCCCATAATGCACAACTGAAACAAACGTGTGGAAATAGTCTTTATTTAACCTCAATTAACCCAAATTATGCAAATTCCATATTTTCTAACAGTCATATGTGTCCTGACACCTATGGTTGATGTTCACCAATGAAAAATAAACCTTTCCACTCTCAAACTGCCTTGATCCATCTCTTAGGTAATTGCTCCGTTTAAAAATCATGCCCTTTACTGTTTGTTGTCATCAGGGCAAATAACCACTCCCCCCATCTGAGTCTGCCCTCTA